TTTGTTGTTCGCGAGGAGTCATTTCCTGAAACTTTCACTCTTCGAAGCGTTCCCAGACTGCATTTTAAAAGCAGCACTTTCTTTCATCACGACAACACTCAAGGGGGCTGATGGTACACAGCACAGTCCAAATGTGGCCCCTCCCCCACGGAGAGGGGAGGGAGGAAAGCCGAAGGTGCGGGGTCAGTAAATTGCAGGCAGTCGGGTTCTGAGCCCAGAAATGAAGCCTGCTTCGCGGCCGTGTTTCTTCATTGGGTTGTGTGGGTAGAACCAAAGGAACAGTGTGAATGCTGAGATTTATGGAGACTGAACTGCCTCCTACACGCACCTCTCCATACGCAAGACGTACTGTGCAATCCTTATGGAAAGTTGCAGCCTATTCGTTTCAATAGGTTTAGCTGGGATTAACTCAGCATAGTTGGTAAAGGATGCTGGATTCTGACTCTAGGCTGCGTTGTCGGGCTACCATGTTTCGTAGCCAGGTAAGGAGCTGATGTCGCTGCCGGTCTTTCTGCTCGGTGGCCGAAACAGGTCTGTCCTTCTTATGCTCCTTGTCGACCCTGCTTGTCTCAACATCTCTGGTGTCAAGGAGTGGTAAATGTAGCTGTAAGCCATGAAATTAAAAGACACCTGCTGCTCCTTGGGAGGAAAGCAATGGCGAACCTAAACAGCATGATAAAAAGTAGAGACATCACCCTGCCAACAAATGTCTGCATGGTCAAAGTGACGGTATTCCCAGTAGTCATGTATGGCTACAAGAGTTGGACTATAAGGAAGGCCGAGTGCCGAAGAATAGATTCTTTTGAACTATGGTGCTGGAGAAGACTCTTGAGAGTCCCTTGGACTGCAAGGAGATCCAATCAGTCAATCCTAAAAGAAATCAACCCTGACTGTTCCCTGGAAGGCCAGATGATGAAACTGAAGCTCAAATACTTTGGCCACCAAATGAGAAGGGAGCACTCCCTGGAGAAGACCCTGATGCTGGGAAAGATTGAAGGTCAAAGAAGACAGGGACGGCAAAGGATGGGACAGCTAAACAGTGTCATAGATGCAACGAACATGAAATTGAGCCAATTTCAGAGGACGGCAGAAGACAGGAGGTCCCGGCGTGATGTGGTCCATGGGGTTGCGAAGAGTCGGACTCGACTGTGCGACTCACCAAAAGGAACGGTGGACCACTCTCGCCAGGCTGTTGTTGTTCAGTCACACAGTCGAGTCCAACTGTTCACGACCCCGTGGACCACATCATGCCAGGCCCTCCTGTCTTCCATCGTGCCCCGGACTTAGCTTAATTTCATGTTCATGGCATCGATAACCCTGTCCAACCATCTCATCCTCTGCCGTCCCCTTCTTCTTTGACCGTCAGTCTTTCCCAGCATCAGGGTCTTCTTTTCCAGCGAGGGCTCCCTTCTCATCTGGTCGCCAGGCTAGTGACTCTCATTCAGAATAACAGGGCTCTTGAGCTGGCAGAGTTCTCAGTGCTTCCTGTTGGATTTTAAAAGGAAGTTCTTAACCAGCATGGCGTTGCAGCCAGAGTGGTGGGCCGGGATGGGGGAGACTCAGGTGCACATCTCTATCCTGCCACGGAAGCTTTCTGGGTGATCATGGGTTATGCTACCTCACAGGGTTGTCGTGAGGATGAAATGGAGGAGAGGAGAATGACACAAGCTGCTTTGGCGTCCCTACCGGGGAGAAACACGCGGCGTGAAGGAGGTTTTTAGGAGACCAAACAAACCCAAGCAGTTATTTCCTGGTGCTGTGAGCCACTCCCCGCAATAAGGAAGTCGTGAAAACTCTCTCTTCTGAACGCATTAACCTTCGCCCCGGATCCGTGACCACACGGCAGGTTCCCTAAGTTTCTGGAAGGGTGCAGTTGCTGGGAGCAGGTACTGCTCAAGTGACATTTGGACTGGCAGATTGGCACAAGATATTGCCCACATCAGCACCCCTTCACCTTCCTTCCCCCGCCCCTTTCACAATCGGATGCCGGAGTGGGTGGCGTTGGTAACAAGATTGATCTGTGACCTACACTGGAGCGGGAACCGTGCTGTCCCCAGACATACAAACCAACCCTTTTTTGCTTTGACAATTATTAAGGTTGGATGGACATTTAAATTAAATTTAAACATACATAGATAAACAGATAAAAAGATACGTTACCTGAAAGAATTATAATGTTAAACAATTGGAAAAGGAGAAAAAATTTAAGAATGTAATAGAAGTTTGAGCACTGTGGGAAGTCAGAAAGGGGGTGGGAGATATTTGGATGAAAGGATATGAAAAATTTGTTATGTGACGTATAATTTTACTTATTACTATATCCTAATAAAATTGGTTGTTTTTTAAAAACAAAACAAAAACAAAACCCAACCCTTTGTCATTCCACCGTAGACCTTTAGAACGCCTTGTTCCCTGCAGATCATTTGGGGGCTCTCATAACTGGCGTTTAGCCTTTCAAAATTATAAGCAACCCTTTGAATGGTTCTTAATAACAAGCGATATCCTGCTATGAGTGAGGCCGACTTGCAATAGAAAGGTCACCATCCAGTTGTTGAACCCTAAGAGGTTAAGATCTCGCTCTGCTTTGAAGCCTTGGAGTCATCAGGGCACGTTCCGCATTTGCAGCTCTGCCCAACGAGTTCCACTGTACAGGCAAGCCAACCTTCCAGGCGGTTGGCGTGGCTTACTCACCCCCTCACGCAATGTGCGGATTGCGCAAGAAGCGTCTCGATCTGTCGCTCCCTCGTTAAGTTATTGCTACACCGAACGTGCAATTGGGCTTTTGCTCTCTCTTTGGGTGCCATGCATTTCAAGACGAAAACTTACTTTTGCCCTGTTGGAAGTCAAGACAGGCTTGGGTTTTATTTTATCTGTTTTTTTCCAATACTGATTTGTGTTTAAACAAAAATGGATTGGAAGGGCCGGGAGAAACAAATTATTGTTTGAGGTTTCTATCCAAGCTGCTGTCCAAAGAGTCTCCTCGGTCACTTCCTTTGCTATGTTCTCATGCGTGTGTCTCCTCAGCTCGTGGGTTCTGTGGGGCAGAACTTGGGACGAATCTTGCAATAATCCAAAGAGAATAAAACGTTTTTACTTTTCACTTGACGTCATCTCACGTAACGAAAACATCGAACTTAGTAACACAAGAGAATTATGATCTTCTAAAGGCCACACCATTGACCTTCCCCTTCTTCACAGCTCGCCACCCCCAAAGTCATAAGAACGTAAGAGACGCCAATGTTGGATCAGGCCAAAGGCCCATCCAGTCCAACACTCTGTCACACAGTGGCCAAAACCCAGGTGCCATCAGGAGGTCCACCAGCAGGGCCAGAACTCCAGAAGCCCTCCCAATGTCGCCCCCCAAGCAGCAAGAAGACAGAGCATCACTGACCCAGACATAAGAAACGCCAGTGTTGGATCAGGCCAGTGGCCCATCCAGTCCAACACTTTGTCACACAGTGGCCAAAAATACCCGGTGCCATCAGGAGGTCCACCAGCGGGGCCATCTCTCTCTTCTTGTTGGTGGCCCAGGAAGTCTCTAGCTGAACCCTCAGTGCGCAGGCTTCGAAGATGAGGGTTCCAAATCAACTCCCCATTAGATAACGCAGTGCTGAAACGATAATTCTAAAATTTACAATTCAGAACAAAAATTCTCTCACCCTTCACAGTTCGCATACGCAAATCATAGTTACCTTAAACCAGGTGTTAAGAGCCTGTGACTAAAGTTCAACTTTCCCAGCAGGGGCAGTCTTTGCTTCCCTCTTCTGCGTCCCGCACATCCCGCACCCTTCTGCGTCTAAAGACTCCGCCTCTTCCTAGCTCATTCCATTCCTAGCTAGGGGTTACATGTTTGTTTATTTGATGTATGACTTATACCCCGCCCTCCCCGCCAAAGCAGGCTCAGGACAGCTTGCAATAAAATTTGAACAAGCTTAAAAACAGATTAAAACCATAAAACAATTCCAAGGCACTATACTTAATATATATATATATATTATCTGGAAGGCCAGATAATGAAACTGAAGCTCAAATACTTTGGCCACCAAATGCGAAGGGAGCACTCACTGGAGAAGACCCTGATGCTGGGAAAGATTGAAGGTCAAAGAAGACGGGGACGGCAAAGGATGAGATGGTTAGACAGTGTCATCGATGCAACGAACATGAAATTGAGCCAACTTCAGAGGACGGCGGAAGACAGGAGGGCCTGGCGGGAGATGATCCATGGGGTCGCGAAGAGTCGGACTCGACTGTGCGACTGAACAACAACATATAAATGTTATAGAAGTATTGCATGTATGGCGACAAACAGTTTTTAGACGTTGTCCATCTCAGGTACCCAGTCCGCGTTGGCTTATAGGGCTACCGTCTAGCTCATAATATATAGAAACGGCACGGGACGATAGCCTTTAATAGATTCCAGGGCGGGTTCTGATGCTGAGTGTGGCCCTTCAGTCGAATGCCTGGCGGAAGAGCTCCGTCTTGCAGGCCCTAAGGAACGGTAATAAATCCCGCAGGGCCCTAATGTCCTTGGGAAGCTTGTGCATTATTTTATGGGAGATCTTGAAAGCTAATCCGGGTCGGTCCTGGTTAGTACTTGGATGGGAGACTGCCAAGGAAGTCCAGGGTCACTATGCAGAGGCAGGCAACAGCAACCCATTTCTGTTTGGCTCTTGCCTTGAAAACCCTACTGGGTTGCCTGGCGTCAGCCGCAACTTGACGGCCCTTTCCACACACCTCCAGCCGTGTATGCAGGCTTGCCTCAGTCTAAGCCCATAGAAATCGGCAGGCTCGACGTCTCTGCGCGCTTTTAACTGTGATGTTCAAGAAGTAAAACAGTTAATTCTTCATGGAGTACAACATCAGACTCCTGCAGCTTTGTCGCCTCCCTACATCTTTGCAGGAGTTGGGACACTTGGTCTGTACCCCGCAGTGCAGAAGTAAAGCTTGAGATTTTCCCCATGTCTGTATGAGTTTATAATCTTAAATCTTTTCCCCAACAGGGCCAAGCAATGATGTGGCGGTTCCAGGAGAAGAAATCAGCATTCCCCAAGGCTGGAATCTTCGCGAGCCCCTGCTTGTAGCAGTGAATTAGAACGAAGCACCAGCTAAATCCTGTGCGTCATGGGCCATCATCATTTTACCTGACTCATCATCGCAACCTGTCCGATGCGAGGCTTCCCCGGTATCTAAGTATTGGATATAATCAAGATGAAAAGCAACTGCTACCAGGTTAATACCTTTGATGCTGGATGCTTGGGGGAATGAAGTCCTATTGGTCTGTTGACCTACATTCTATACCAGGGGTGTCAAATATGCAGCCCAGGGGCCGGATCAGGCCCGCAGTGGAACTGGCTGTCTTCTGCTTTTTCTTCCAGTTCTGCGTCGTCGTCATAGCTTTGCAGCTTACAGATTCACACCTGAACAGCATACTCAGGATTGCAGCAGCACAGTCAGTTTATTTTCTGAATGCTTTTTAAATTTTCAACATACAAAACAAACACGAAGGGGGGGGGGATATTCCGTTTCAGTTCTTCAGTAACATTTTGATGCCTAATTTATCATAAAATTCGTATAATTCACCTTTTAAACAATAACTCTGTCGCTTGCAAATCTATTTATATAATAAACAGCACAGACATTTTGATGCAGTAATTCAGAGCAAGTGGTGTCAGTTATCAGACACTGTTAAATAAAGAAAATATTGCAAGAGTGGTAATGTTTTAAGCATGTTTTTAAGTTTAAAAAAAACCCTTTGTGTTTGTGTCCTTTATAAAGTTTCTATCTCTGCTACCTGGCATTCCATTTTATGACACACATGGCCCGGCCCAACAAGGTCTCATTTATGTCAGATCTGGCCCTCATAACAAAATGAGTTCGACACCCGTGTTGTATACCACATGGCATTTGGTTTAGTCTACATTACTGTGTTCAGCTTTATGTCGGTGGGGTCTTGGGACTGTAAGTGTATTTTTATTACACCTGCTGCTGCTACTGCACCGCCACCGCCATACAAATTTGCTTTTAGTAATTATGCTGTGTTTTATGCAATTTTACGTTAGCCTGCCTCAGCGGGGAGGTGGAGGGGAGTACAAATCAAATAAATAATAAGATTCCTGTTCCAAGGGCCTCTTCTGCCCTCCTGCTTTTGGAGGAGCCCAAAGGCTCTGAAACAAAAGACACCCCCCCCCCCCCCCCATCTGCTTGAACTGCACGGGAAGCTGGCTATGGACAGACCTTGGTATCCAATCCAAATAATATAGGTTGCTGAGACTGTCATACCGGGTTCTATATCTGCCATCTTTGGGAACAACAAGCTGGAGTTCACACTAGCATTTCTCAGTGGTGGGGAGGGTGGGTGCCAATCAGGTGAGTATGAAGGCAATCAAAACACATTAATTGAGACTGAGCTCTCTAAGGGTTCTCTTTCTTGGCCTGTGGCAGAGATGGCGTAGTCACCATCCATTCGCCTTCTCTCCAGCAGTTAAAGGAGTGCCGTCTCCTTCCAGCCGATTTCAGATTAAAATTACTTCCTAGTATGCATTCTATTTCCAAAGTTGTTTACTAGCCAGAGAGCAAGGAACTTACTTTAAAAGAGGAAATGAAAATAGTTGGGACTTAAAGGTTACAGTGGTTTTTCCCTCTGCCTGCTCAGCTTGTAAATATGTAACATCTCTGTATATATATACACACAGTGGGGTTGGTGTTCATGGTTTTAAAATGTGACTTTTATCATGTATGTTTTAAATTGTTTGTAAATAAACCGAATACATAAAGTGGGAAAGAGGTGGCTTTGTTGGCGTAATCTTGTTCAGGAAAGGTTAAACTACTCATCTCAACTGCCTCCATAAAGCATATCTTAATGCATGGAAGCAGGGAAGCTGGGATGAGGCTTGTCTTATTAGGGAAAAGGAATGCTCTAGGATTCTTTTTAACTTGTCGATTAATGATTTGGGGTTGGGAGTAAGCCGTGAAGTGGCTTAAGTTTTTCAGATGACACTAAGTTGTCCAGGGTGGTGCGAACCAGGGAGGACTGTGAAGAGCTCCAGAGAAATCTGTCGAGGCTGGGCAAGCGGGCGTCAATGTGATGCACATTTAAGCAAAAAATCTGAACTAGAAGGAGAAGAGATTGGATTTATCCCCCACCCTTCACTACCCAAGGGACTCTCAGACTGGCTTACAAACTCCTTCCCCTCGCCATAACAGACACCCTGTGAGGTAGGTGGGGCTGAGAGAGCTCTTGAGAGAACAGCTCTGAGGGAACTTGTAACTGACCCAAGGTCACCCAGCTGGCTTGCAGTGAAATGGGCTCCCCCTCCCTGGCAGTCTTCAAGCAGCGGTTGAATGCTTGTCAGGGATGCTCCAGGCTGATCCTGCATTGAGATTGGACTAGATGGCCCCTTCAAAGTCTTATGGTTCTAATGTGTGGGAAGGTATTTGCTGGCATTCCCTGCCACCTGTAGTATGACTTGCGCTGGGCAACACTACCTGTTCCTTTTTCTCTTGCGCTCTTCTCTCCCCACCCCCTCCCCATGCACAGTAGTACTCAGGGGTTTTTTCCCGCTCCTGCTGCCCTCTACAGTCAGTGTGAAAGCTAACTAGGATTTGGTTTGAATAAATAAAATAGCTTAGACTAATTAGGCTATTAGTGGCTATTAGCCACAAGGTATAGATAGGGACTCTGGGGCAAGTGATGCTCTGTCTTCTTGGTGCTTGGGTGGGGGGGAGCAACAGTGGGAGGGCTTCTAGTGTCCTGGCCCCACTGCTGGACCTCCTGATGGCACCTGGTATTTCTGGCCACTGTGTGACACAGAGTGTTGGACTGGATGGGCCTTTGGCCTGATCCAACATTGGCATCTCTTATGTTCTTAAGTTAAAGGCTACCCCCTGCCGAAGTTGAGCATCACATTTATTTTGTTTCTTTAAAATAGTTCTGAATGCATCACATTAAACAGTTACCACTCCATCCTGTAAATCCAAGCAGCTACCTCAACATATTGCTTGAAGGTGGGGTTCAAGGAGAGGCTTGCGCTATTGCACCTGATCCGAGTGCCCACGTGTGCATCAATATGGCTCGAATCCCTTTTGTGTTCTGCTCAGTTTGATCAAGATGGGTCGCCGTGTTAGTCTGTCTGTAGTGGTAGAAAAGAGCCAGAGTCCAACAGAACCTTAAAGGCTAACAAAATTTGGGGCAGGGGGAGGAGCTTTCGCGAGTCACGGCTCACTGCTTCAGACAGAGCTGGAATGAAGTGGAAAACTAAGCAGTGAATCACAAAAGTTCCTCCCCTGCCACAAATTTTATTAGTCTTTAAGGTGCTCCTAGGAGCTGCAGTGGCTCAAGTGGCTAAGACGCTGAACTGCAAGCTGTGGAAGGTCGGTAGTTCAGCAGTTCGAGACCCAAGTGTGCCGCATGATGGAGTGAGCTCCCGTCTCTAGTTCCAGCTCCTGCCAACCTAGCAGTTCGAAAGCAAGAAATTGCAAGTAGATAAATAGGTACCACTTCGGTGGGAAGGTCACAGCGTTCCGTGCGCCTTGGTGTTTAGTCATGCCGGCCACATGACCACGGAAATGTCTTCGGACAGCGCTGGCTCTTCGGCTTTGAAATGGAGATGAGCACCGCAATCCTAGAGTAGGACTCGACTGGCTTTCGAGCAAGGGAACCTTTACCTTTTAAGGTGCTCCTGGACTCTGGCTCTTTTCTGCTGCTCGATTTGAGTCTAGGTAGCAGCAGCTGAAGGGGAGAAAAGAACTGTAGTGGATTAGCAATACCAGGATTCTTCAGTGCTTTCAGTCATGGTGAATATGGAATTATAATCACACCCGTACATACCTGACAAGTTCGGTCCTCCTCTGGAGTAGGCACACGTGTGGTGGTGACTGGCCTCTGACAGCAGATGAAGTCACAAAACGCAGGCCTGCCCTTGTGTACAACTTGCAACAGCACGTGACAATCAAGAGGGAGCGGCCGACAGCACGAACGGCAAAACTGGTTCAACCATAGTACTTGTGTCACTGGCAAACATCCAATGAACGTCTTTCCTGTTACAGGATGTTTGACCCCTACTGGGGGCCTGGTGGATATTCAGAGAGGTGGCTGAGGAAAGCCTGCCCCCGCCTCCCGACTGCTGGTATTCCAAGGAGGTCTCCCATCCAAGGACTTCCCGGAGTTGACCCTGCTTCGCTTCTGAGATCTGATTAGCTCGGCCTGGCCTGGTCTACCTAGGTCAGGGCTCTACTTTGCTTTCTGGATTCATGAAATGATTGAAACACTTCCCGTTTCAAAAAACTACCATGAATGACTTTGTGGCCACCACGAATGGACGCCATTGCCAGTGGATGATCCGGCCCACTTGGCTGCTTCAGTTGTCTGTCTTCAGCTTGAGAGCCGGGCAGGTTGCAAAGTTCACGGGGCTCGATAACCTCTTCAGAACGCCCAGCCTAGTAGGGCTCTGCTCTAGAGAAAAGGAACTCGGTCATTCCTGGTTTCATTTGAAAGGCTCAGAAACAGCTTCACCTGTACTCTACCGAAAAATAACTTGAGACCAAGCTTCGCCTTTACTGCATTCGTACCTTGGAGAACGTCTCAAAGGCCAAATGGTAAACCATAATTTGTTCTCTCTCACCGAGGGATGGGACTGGACGCACCAGTACAGGAAACCCCGCTCCAAGCACTAGCCATATTCAGCTCAGGTCCTCTTTTCTGTCAATCCACAGAAATGGGGCTTATTTACAGCAAATGTGCAGCTGCAGGATTACTTCAGCCATTACTACGTTAAGGTGAAACCTTTGCTCTTTCCCCTCCACGAGTTCCTTACAGCTAGTGCCAAAAAGCCACACAGAGAAGAGATTGGATTTATACCCCGCCCTTCACTACCCAAAGGCGTCTCAGAGCAGCTTACAATCTCCTTTCCCTTCCCCTCCCCACAACAGACACCCTGTGAGGTAGAAGAAAAAGAAGAGATTGGATTTATACCCCACCCTTAACTACCCAAAGGAGTCTCAGAGCGGCTTACAAACTCCTTCCCCTCCCCACAACAGACACCCTGTGAGGTGTGGGGGGGGGGGGGGGGAGCTGAGAGAGAGCTTTCGAGGACTGCTCGTGAGAGAACAGCCGAGAGAACTTGTGACTGACCCAAGGTCACACCAGCAGCTCCACATGGAGGAGTAGGGAATCAAACCCAGTTCTCCCAGATTAGACACTGGGCTCCTAACCGCTACACCAAACTGAATGAGGTAGAATGGATTCCAGGAGGTCTCCAATGACATTTCATCCATACCTTAATTCTACGGGTGACAAAGAACCAAGGATTCCCTCTAACCACTCACACAATATGATCAGCAGGGGGTTTCCTGTGCAGACTTACTGCTGAGTCCTGGGAGATAATACACGAGCAAGCATTGCCATGTACACTCGTTTTTTCTCAACTGTATTATCTCCTCTCCCATACCCCATATATTGCACACATAAAAGTCCCATGTTATACTCCCTATGTAGTCACAGAATAGGTAGCCTGTTCAAATAACTCTTCGTGTAACTGCCCTAGATGAGGGAAGCGTCTTGAGTATCTGGCCTGCAGATCTTGGTATCTACACCCACAATAAAGCTCTTCGGCAAGCGATGCGAAAATGGTCTGCTTACAATTCGTTCCTCTTCTAGAGAACGTGTTCGCCGCAGAGCAATTTTTCACTAACAGAAGGGGAGGCGGCATTCCCAGATCCTGTTACAGAGCTGGCACGTCCCCCGATGCCGTTCCGGAGCATCCCGTCACGTGGGGACCAGCATGAGAGAACATCAGAGAGGCCAACGTTGGGATCAGGCCAGTGGGCCCATCAGGCCAGTGGGCCAAAAATACCAGGTGCCATTGGCAGGGCCAGCAGCAGGGCCAGAAGCCCTCTCACTGTGCCCCCCCCCCCCCAAGCACCAAGGATACAGAGCATCACTGTCCCAGACAGAGCCCTCTATACCTTGTGGCTAAGACCCACTGATGGACATCTGCTCCACGTTTCCCCAATGTTGAAGCTGTCTGTGCTTGTAGCCAATGTCCCCTCTAAGCTGTGGAGTCTCGTGAGCAAAAATGCTATTTTGTGAGCTACTGGCATTAAAGTTGTGAGCGAGCGATTTGGCTGCTGCATAAATTAGTTGGCTCTGGAGCCCTCCTTCTTGAGCTAGGACAAAAATCTGTGAGCTGGAGGCTAAAAAACTGTGAGCTAGCTCACACTAATTCAGCTTAGAGGGAACACTGCTTGTAGCTGCTACCACTTCCTGTCGCAGTGAATTCCACTTGTTCATGACTCCTTGGGTGAAGGAGGACTCCCCTTGCTCTAAGCCTGCTGCTCATTAATTGTGCCCACGAGTTCTTGTATTGTGAGAAAGGGAGAAAAGTCCTTTCTTTACCTTCTCTGTCCCATGTTTCCAGGAGAGCAATGGACTGCAATCGTATGGAAGGAGGCAAGAAGGTTGTGTTCTGCTGACCGAAGTGCCTTCCATTGGCGGAAAATTTAGCCTAGATCCAACCCAGTACTGAGAGAGTTGAGACCTGTTAGTTTAGGTCACAAACACCTACAGCTCCAGGGAGGAAACTCAAACCATTCCAAAGAGTGATGAACACCCAGAATTCACTGCCACAGGTGGTGGCGACTACAAGCATGGATGGCTTCAAGAGGGAATTAGATAAGCATATGGAGCAGAGGTCCATCAGTGGCTATTAGCCACAAGGTGTAGATAGGAACCCTCAGTCTGGGGCAAGTGATGCTCTGTATTCTTGGTGCTTGGGGGGGGGGCAACAGTGGGAGGGCTTCTGGAGTTCTGCTGGCCCCACTGGTGGACCTCCTGATGGCACCTGGTATTTTTGGCCACTGTGTGGCAGAGTGTTGGACTGGATGGGCCACTGGCCTGATCCAACAATGACTTCTCTGATGTTCTTATGCTATGAAGTTAAATACAGCCGAGACACCTTGTATCGGATGATGATCTAATTATGGATCATTCTGGGTTGTCCCGGGGCCAATCATCCACACTTCCCTTCCTGTGAACATGCACAGCAAAAATAAAGACAATAGTAGACAGCCCCTGAAAGCCTTTTTTCCAATGATCCCATGACTACTCTTATACGGCTTGTATTTAGATATTTAACCCCACCCCCTTTTTTTCTTCCTGCAATGGGGACCCAGAACAGCTTACAAAATTTTCTCCCCACCTCGTTCTCATAAACCACGTGGGGCTTCTCAGCTTGATACAGAAGAAGAGATTGGATTTATACCCCCGCCCTTCAATCGGAGTCTCAGAGCAGCTTACAAACTCCTTTCCCTTCCCCTCCCCACAACAGACACCCTGTGAGGTAGGTGGGGCTGAGAGAGTTCTGAGAGAACTATGGCTTGCCCAAGGTCATCCAGCAGCTGCGAGTGGAGGAGTGGGGAATCACACTAGATTCTCCCCAATTAGAGTCCGCGCACTTAACCACTACACCAAACTGGACCAGAGGTCCATCAGTGGCTATTAGCCACTAGGTACAGAGGGAATACTCTCTTGAGGGCAGTGATGCTCTGTCTTCTTGGTGCTTGGGGGGCCACAGTGGGAGGGCTTCTGGAGTTCTGACCCTGCTGGTGGACCTCCTGATGGCCCCCTGGATTTCAGCCATTGTGTAACACAGAGCGTTGGACTAGATGGCCACTGGCCTGATCCAACATGGCTTCTCTTATGTTCTTATGATTCTCCCATGAGGCCCATTCCACACATCAAGCAAGGTTCTCACAACTGCAATCACGCTTGCCGTTCTAGGACAGCAGTACTTGCGTATGTAAAGTGCCGTCCTGTCGCAACCGACAGTGTAGCCCCAGCAAAGGGGTGTTGAAGGCAAGTGAGAAGCAGAGGTGGCTTTGCCAGGGCCTTCCTTCGTGGGTCTCCCTGCCAAGGACCAACCTTGCTTAGGTTCTGAGACTGGGCTGTACCATGCTGCCTTCCTTTCCTTTTTTACACCAGTATTGACTCCTCCTGAAACATTCACTTCGTGGGAGCAGACCAGGGGTCATTTCCTGCAGAAGCGCACAGGAGCGGAGCTCCAGCAGTAAGGAGCCCAGGGGGCGGGCACATGCGACAAGCCCCGCCCCCTGCTCCCAGCAGCCCTCAGTCAGAGCAAGAAGCAGCCAGGTAAGTTGTAGAGCCGCCCCCCCCCCGGCCCCCCAGTCCAAAAGAGTCCAGTGGCACCTGCGAGGACAGATCTGCACGTTTCCCCGCCCCCCAATAGCTAGCAATCCAAAAGAGTCCAGTGGCGCCTGAGTGGTGGGTGTTGCCTTCTGACACACGTCAAGGGGTGTGGCATACGCAAATAGGTTATGCTAATGAGCCCCTGCACCTCTTTTTCTACAAAATGACCCCTGGAGCAGACTATAGCTGTACACTGAGGTATACATATGCCCACTTGGGGGTCATCATACCACGGTCATATTGCATGCAGATGGCTTTAGATCCTAGCCGATATATTCTGGCTTCCACCCCTTTGGACCAAAAGCGAGCTTTTAGGAAATCAAGCAGGCGCTTTGACAATCTGCAATGGGGAAAAAATTTATTTTAGTGCAAGTTGGTCACTCAAAATAGTCTTCCAGCACATATATAATGGCAATTAATACATAAAACAGTCCGCAGTATAGATTAAAACATCTGCATCTTAAAGTAACAATGTGTTACATGTTTTCATCATCCGATTCATCCTCTTCCTTCAGAGACTCCTGTAAAAAAAGAAATTAAAAGATCAGGTTCTTCCACATGGCGAGAAGTGAGTGACACCTATCCAAATCTGCAGAGTTTGCAGGATGAAAGCTTGTGGGCAGAGATCAGGCGTGGTCATGAGCATCCACTTCACAAAGGCACACAAGTCCTTGAGCAGCCCAGAGTTATTTCTTTGGTATTTTAACTGGTATTTTAACATAAAAGGACTTCGACCCGGATCCCTTCATCTTTTCCCAACCGAAGTTATTCTGGGAGGAATCAAAAGGGAGATCCAACCACCGCCCTGGTAAAAAATCAGGACAACATTTGGGACTTGCCTAGGCAGGTCATGGCAAAATGGCAACTACTTCAAGGCTTACCTTCGCATATTTCTCCGCTTCTTCCTTAATGTCTTTAGGGACAATTTCATGTTTTCCCTTTGTGACTGTGAATTTACAGAGTTTTCATTATTTGAAATGTTTTTATCCCAGAACTTTTAGCTATAGTTTTTAAGGCAGCATTCAACATTAATAGCAAAATATAAGAAATTATCCCTCTATGTAATAAGAGCATAAAACATCCAAATATTCATCAGAATGCCTGAACACCCACCCACCAGCCAAATGCCTAGACAACCATTGTTCAGCTGCTGCACAGGGCAGGCTAAGGAAAGGGCATTGCAAAATCAGCACTATCAGCAAGAAAGCCCAATGTTTTGAACTTTGTAAAATGCGTCTATTTCTGTTTCAACCTGTCTCAATACAGCAGCCATCCCCGATGTTTTTTAAGCCTCTGGGCACTGTCGGAAACCTGATGCTGGGTGATGGGCACAGCCCCCCACACAAAGAGGAAGCCCCAGTCCAGGGGAGAAGAGAGGTTAAAGCACTTGGGGCTTCAAGAGGGAATTAGATAAAACATATGGAGCAGAGGAACACCGGTGGCTCTTAGCCACGAGGTATAGGTAGGAACTCTCAGGCTGGGGCAAGGGATGCTCTGTATTCTTGGTGCTTGGGGGTGGGTGGGGGGCAACAGTGGGAGGGCTTCTAGTGTCCTGGCCCCACTGGCAGACCTCCTGATGGTACCTTTTGGCCACTGTGTGACCCAGAGTGTTGGACTGGATGAGCCACTGGCCTGATCCAGCATTGGCTTCTCTTATGTTCTTATGTTAGGTAATTAAAACTACTCTGGGAAAGAAGAAGAAGAAGAGATTGGATTTATACCCCGCCCTTCACTTGGAGTCTCAGAGAGCGGCTTACAAACTCCTTTTCCTTCCCCTCCCCACAACAGACACCCTGTGAGGTGGGTGGGGCTGAGAGAACTCTGACACAAACTGCTCTTTTTCAAGGACAGCTGTGCCAGAGCTTGTGACTGACCCAAGGTCACATCAGCAGCTGCAAGTGGAGGAGTGGGGAATCAAACCCGGCTCTCCCAGATTAGAGTCCGCCACTCTTAACCACTACACCAAACTGGCTCTCACCAAAGAAGGCTGAGAGAGACTATAGCATATATTATACATAGAATATATAGAATATATGGGAGCTGCCACTGGAAAATGCTATTCTAATCGGAACAGACAATCAGATCTTCACTGGCAAACCAGAAATTAACCTAGACCCACTAATTTTCTAAAAACACTCGATGGGTGCCAAGAAGGGTCTCAGCGGGCACCGTGGTGTCCTCGGGCTCCATGTTAGGGACCCCTGTAATGTAGACTCACAAACATTTTGGTCACATGCTCCTTGTAATGAGGCGCGCTGGCTTTTTCCCTCTGAACATGAGGAGTTGTGGTTTTGCGCAGCAGCACCTTGAAGATTTTCGTTATTTTAAAAATGCCAATTGTGTATCAATCACCTCCTCTGCTTTAAATGTAAAGGGTAAGGGGCAGCTACAACTTGAACTGGTCATTTCTACACACGCATGCAAAAACAAGCAGCCAACATTAGAAGAGAAGGGACTGTATTTGTACCCCGCCCTTCACTACCCAAGGGAGTCTCAGAGCGGCTTACAAACTCCTTTCCCTTCCCCTCCCCACAACAGGCACCCTGTGAGGTAGGTGGGGCTGAGAGAGCTCTTGACAGAAACTGCTCTTTTTCAAGGACAGCTCTTATCAGAACTACGGCTTGCCCAAGGCCAGCCAGCCAGGTGCAAGTGGAGGAGTGGGGGAATCAAACCCGGTTCTCCCAGATTAGAGTCTGCGCACTTAACCACTACACCAAACTGGCGAGAATTCCTTTGGTATTAGAAGAAGAAGAAGTAAAGAGATTGGATTTATACCCTGTCCTTCACTACCTGAAGGAGTCTCAGAGCGGCTTACAAACTCCTTTCCCTTCCCACAACAGACACCCTGTGAGGTAGGTGGGGCCGAGAGAGCTCTTGCCAGAAACTGCTCTTTTTCAAGGACAGCTCTTGTCAGAACGATGGCTTGCCCAAGGTCATCGAGCCAGGTGCAAGTGGAGGAGTGGGGAATCAAACCCGGTTCTCCCAGATTAGAGTCCACGCACTTAACCACGAGCTCTGAACAGCTCTGAAACAGAGAGAACAGCTCTGAAAGAACTTGTGACTGACCCAAGGTCACTCCAGCAGCTGCATGTGGAGGGCTGTGACAGACACCCTGTGAGGTAGGTGGGGCTGAGAGAGCTCTTGACAGAAACTGCTCTTTTTCAAGAACAGCTCTGACAGAACTAAGGTCATCCAGCCAGGTGCAAGTGGAAGAGTGGGGAATCAAACCCGGTTCTCCCAAATTAGAGTCCACGCACTTAACCACGACACCAAACTGGCATTAGAAGCAGGGGAACAAACAAGATACAAGCGACACTTACTTTCTCCAACCCAGCTGAGTTCAAGTTCAAAAGCTTTATCTTTTACTTCATCGTGGACTATGTAGATTCTAGAAATATGAAGGGGGGGGGAGAAGAGCCATCAGCCAAAGGTTTATAAAAAGGCAAAACAGGACTGAACAGGACCGGCCACTCGCCTCCAGCTTTGGGAAGAAATTAAACCAGTAACATTTCACACACTGAAAAAAACCAGTGGATTCAGAAATTTTAGACAAGCGCACACGGACTCATGTTGCAGAACTAAAGAGTCTGAATCTCAGAACACCTTGGCTCAACTGGCTTTAATGTGGTTCAAGATTATCAACCTAGAGATACTGAATTGTTGGTCCTATTTGATTGGTTCAAGGCTCAACCTAGAGAATACTGAATTGTATCCAGTTATATAGATTCAGGACTTTTTAGTTCAAATATTCGCTACTTCAAGGGCAGAATGTGCCTGTGCTTTTAAAGTAAAGTTTTAGTGCACTGTGTAATAAATGCAAGTATTTTGTTCAATTTATTTCTCATAATTTTTTCTCGGCCAACTTTGTTGCTTTCCACGATTACCTCAGGTTAGAAGGAATTTCACAATTGGGTGGCCTGCCGGGGGCTACAAGCATGGACAGCTTCAAGAGGAAATTATATAAGCATATGGAGCAGACGTTCATCAGTGGCTATTAGCCACAAGGTATAGACAGGAACTCTCGGTCTGGGGCAAGTGATGCTCTGTATTCTTGGTGCATGGGGGTGGGACAACAGTGGGAGGGCCTCTAATGTCCTGGCCCCACTGCTGGACCTCCTGATGGCACCCGGTATTTTTGGCCACTGTGTGAACAGAGTGTTGGACTGGATGGGCCATTGGCCTGATCCAACATTGGCTTCTCTTATGTTCTTATGGGAGGTCAGGAAAGTTCCTACTCTCCTGGCCTTCTGCAAACTATGCAAAACTGAACTCTTTAAGGGGGCTTTTCTGCACAGGTAATAGGGCTGCACTGCACAAATTGGTTTTACAATCCTGCTTGGATAAACGATTAAGGACTGTGGTCCGTACTGCTGCATAGAGCTTATTCTAAGTTAGGGGTGTGCAGGGGAAAAAATCGTTTTTCCTGGATTCGGATATAATAAAGCCATTTTTTTTTCAGGATTCCCGAATATACCCAAAAATTTTCGGCTCCATTATAATCCTATGGAGCCATTGTAGTCAATGGCAAAAATCTTCTAACAAGTATTCAGGGGGCGGGGGGGGGGGGATTTGAGGTAGAGGCACCAAATTTGTACTGTAGCTGCTGAAGCCTCTCCCCAAAAGACCCATGTTTGGAAAAGATTGGACCAGGGGCCCAATTCTAGGGGCATCCAAAGAGGGTGCCCCCAATCCTCCATTGTTTCCTATGGGAATGGGACTTTTACTGCACTTGTGCCTCAATCGTTTTAACTTGTTGTATTTTTACCGCACTGTTGTGCTTGTGTAAGCCGTGGGGAGGGTGGGGTATAAATGAAATAAATAAATAAAATAGACACATCTAGTTAATTTCCTCTGCAGCCTCAGGAGTGGCTTCTCCCTCCCCCACTCAGACAAAAGGAGCAGAAACTTAACATTTATTTATTTGTATTTTTAATCTGTACCCCGCCTTTCTCCCTGTTCTCCTCTCCTCCGTTTTATCCACACAACAACCCTGTGAAGTAGGTGAGGCTGACATTGTGTGACTGGCCCAACGACATCTAGCAAGCTTCCATGGGCATGAGTGAAGACCTGAACCCGGGTCTGTCAGATACTACCCCAACACTCCTAACCACTACACCACATGGGTTCTCCATTACACTACAAAGTCTCTTTCGTTCAAGATGGAGCGGACAGGCTTTCTTCCGAGTGGGTGCCAGCCACCTAACACAACTTGAAGATGAGGAGTGCACAGTCTTCCTCCCACGCACACTTACATTTTTGCAACTTCTTTAACAACATCGCGGCAGGTCATGTCTCTCATCTGTGGGCAAATGGGTGAGGTTAGTGTTTGATCACATAACAGCGGGATGCTCAAACACGGGAAGATACATCTCCAAAAGCCTTGCTCAGAACACTAACCGCCATGTATATGAATCCTTAACATTTGACGTTTATAAAGCATGATCAATATCCAAGTTACTGCAGAGTACAATAGTTCCCTCCCCCAAGGAGGTGATAATCTAACATCAGTTGTAAGGGACCGGGGGGGGGGGGTTTGTGAAACAAGAGAAATACATTTGATACAAATGCTTGCGCAATGTTCCCTCTAAGCCAGTGATGGCGAACCTTTTAGAGACCGAGTGCCCAAACTGCGACCCAAAACCCACTTATTTATCGCAAAGTGCCAACACGGCAATTTAACCTGAATCCTGAGGTTTTAGTTTAGAAAAAACAACTCATACATTAACTTAAGATGATCCAAACAAAGTAAGGAAAGCAATCCCAAATGCTTTCATTGACTTAAAGTTATTTGGCAGAGAATTCAACACTTTAATGATGGTCCGGGCCTGGCTGGGGCGATGGCACGCGTGCCCACCTCTGGCACCCATGCCATAGTTTCGCCACCAGTGGTCTAAGCTGTGGAGTCTTGTGAGCAAAAATTCTACTTGGTGAGTTACTGGCATTAAAGTTGTGAGTGAGCAATTTGGCTGCTGCAGAAATGAGTTGGCTCTGGAGCCATCCTTCCTGAGCTGAGACAAAAAGGTGTGAGCCGGAGGCTAAGAAACTGTGAGCTGGCTCACACTAACTCAGCTTAGAGGGAACCCTGCTTGCAGGTAGGCTTGAACACACACATCACACTGAACCAGACCCTGGGTCCATCAAGGTCAGTACAAAATCTACTCAAACTGGCAACGACCCTCCAGGCAGAGGTCTTTCTCATCACCTACTGCCAGATCTTTAACTGGAGATGCCGGGGATTGAACCTGGGACGTTCTGCATGCCAAGCAGAGGCTCTGCCACGGAGCCACAGCGTCCCGTCCCGTCCCCCCCCGGCCAGCTTCAGCAAGGGAGAGGGACAAGGGTTTGCACCCAGGGAAAAGGTAAATTTTACTGATGTCCTCTGGTCCCTCACAGGGCCCTTCCCTTGAACAGATCTGTGAGATCCAACTCGACATTCAGCAAGTGTCTTTTGTTGTCGTTCAGTCGCACAGTCCCTCCAGCGAGGGCTCCCTTCTCATTGGGTGGCCAAAGTATTTGAGCTTCAGTTTCATTATCTGGCCTTCCAGGGAACAGTCAGGGTTGATTAGCAGTAGGCAAAATTTGTGCCAACTGCACGTGACTCCTGCTTAAAACAAGCACCACCTGATATCATCTAAACCCAAGAAACCTTTCAAAGCAATCTCTGCTAGAAGACCCCGGCGAACCACGTGTTAATCATGGATCTGTGTAGCTTCCTCACTGCCTGTTCCTCTGTTAAGGAGATCGGGGGTCTCTTGAGAGACAGACAGAATACACGTGTGTCATCTGGTTGGAAATTAGTTTTCTCTACACTTATATTGGCTCACCAACTCTTAGAACCAAAAGCTGAGTTTCACTATCTAGAATACTGTTTGACCCAACTACATTATCTTCCTTAATATGAAACATATTTGTATGTGATACGACAATATTTTATTTTTATGTACTGCTGCATGTACTGTTGCATATTTACAGTTCAATAAAGTTTATTATTAAAAAAACCTAATACATGCGCGTTTGAAGTGTGCCAGTCAGTTTAAAAAAAAAAAAGACTTCAGCTAATACAGCACAGTTAAATCATACTTTGTGTATTTCACATCGAAGTTCTGAACAAACGGAATCACTGCAGAAAGGAAAAACCTGCTTCCAGACAATCCAGTTTTGGTTCTTTGCATAGGTTACATAAACTGAACGCAGAATGTGTTTGCGTCATTTATTCTGGCAGAGAAATGCAGGCACTGAAACCCCAGCCATTTATCGTCTCATCCAGCCATCCCAACTAGTGTTCCCTCTAAGCTGACTTAGTGTGAGCTAGCTCAGTTCTTTAGCCTCCAGCTCACACGTTTTTGTCTTAGCTCAGGAAGGATGGGGCTCCAGAGCAAACTAATTTATGCAGCAGCCAAATGGCTGGCTCAGAACTTTTAATTCCAGAAGCTCACCAAGTAGAATTTTTGCTCACAAGACTCCACAGCTTAGAGGGAGCATTGATCCCAATTCGCTTCCGAGATGGCAGCGGGCATTGATTTTATACTTAGGCGCTTTTTGGACTCATATGTACTAGGAGCTTGCTTCTTAAAAATACTTCACATGCACAAAATGACAAGATTTTTCAGAAACCTGAACTGTGCACCCAATCCCTTTCTCTCCTATGGAACCACAGCATATATCGCTGTAGTTACACACAAGCAAGCAGCAGTGGAATGAACGTTGCCCGAAATTGCAAGGAGGGGGGAAGGGGGAAGGGGGGGGTGAACTGCATTCCTAACTGCAGTCGGTGTTCTTCTCACAAAGAGTTATAAACACCTGAGATTGGAGAGCCCCGGAAACAGCCGCCCTGCCTTTTGTGGGCGACGCCAGGTGTTCTTGCTCAGAAGTGAGATTACGCAGCCGGTCAGGTGCACCACAGACCTACCTGAAGTTTCTCAATCTCCGTCTTGGCCGCTTGCCTCGCTTTACCGATGGCACATCCCCAGTAACCCTACGAAAGACACAAATGACAATCCGTCTGGTAAAACCGAACACACTCCATTTGGACGTGGGTGCTTTAGGAAACATCACGCGTGAATACATGCGTAGGCCAAAGCGAAGCGGCTGCACGACGACACATTTGGCGGCGAAGCCTTGAAACGCCTCAGTGTGAAAGATCAGGACCAGGCCAGGGGGAGCCGCTGTGGTCCGTCAAACAGACCCCTGCGGCTGGTTCTCACCTCGGCTTCCGTGAACACATGAAGCTGCCTTATAGTGAATCAGTCCCTGGGTCCGTCAAGGCCAGTACTGTCTACTCAGAATGGCAGGGGCTCGCGGAGACTTCCTTTCCCATCACCTCCAGCCAGATCTTTTAGTTGGCGATGCCGGGGATTGAACCTGGGACCGTCTGCATGCCAAGCAGATGCTCTACCAACTGAGCCACGGCCACTTGATACCCTGTCCGTCTGGTTATCTAGAAGAGCCTCTGAACTAGGGACTAGCACCCAGCCTGCCAAAGGCATCCAGTAGGTTCACAGCCACTCAGCTGAAGCTAAAAGCTACACTAGAAGGCAGGGGTGGCAGTTACGATGAGGGTAGGACGGCATAAGGTCTTTCAAACTGCCGTGAAGGAGAAAGCGGTCTAGTGGTCTTGTACTCCCGGCCAGCACAAACGATGTAAGGTAAAGGTAAAGGTTTCCCTTGCTCGAAAGCCAGACGAATCAGACTCTAGGGATGTGGTGCTCAACTCCGTTTCCAAGCCGAACAGCCAGCGCTGTCCGAAGACGTTTCCGTGGTCATGTGGTCGGCATGACTAGACGCCAAGGTGCACGGAACGCTTTTACCTTCCCACCGAAGCGGTACCTACTTATCTACTTGCAATATCTTTGCTTTCGAACTGCTAGGTTGGCCGGAGCTGGGGCCAGAGACGGGAGCTCACTCTGTCTTGCGGCACTCGAGTCTCGAACTGCTGGAGGGTTAACATGCACCTAGGTGGCGAAGCGGTTACATCAGTGTTTAAGGACAGGCCATCGTTCCTGGAGTTTTTGTTCATTAAACGGGGTATTCATTACAAAATATGTGTTTCCCCACTGCTCTGTATGTTTGCATTCTTTACAACACCCCCTCCCGCCTTCTGACCAGTGTTCCCTCTAAGCTGAGTTAGTGCGAGCTAGCTCACAGTTTTTTAGCCTACAGCTCACGGATTTTTGTCTAAGCTCAGGAAGGATGGCTCCAGAGCACACTAATTTATGCAGCAGTCATTTCTGGATCCTGCCCCGGCATGCAAGCAGCCACCTACGTTTAGCAGTCAAAGAGGCTGTGCAGAAGCGGAAGGGAGAAACACACAGAGGAGCCGTCTCACACTCTATTTAAAGAAGCATTGCATGCCACAGTGCAAACCGTTCTCCATCAGCCAGAAGCTGGAGTGACTGGCCGCTGTATCGTCAGCTTCCACGTAAGGAAGAGTTCTAGCGTAAGAAGTGGATGATTAGCCAAAGAAAGTAGGTTGTTTAAAAACAAAACAAAAAACTCACGTATGCAACTCCCGAGGGATCGACCATGTAGAGCTGTGCGCCTTCGTCCTCGTCGTACGAACCCAACATGAAGCTGGAAAGAAAGAAAAAAGATCTTGCCAGCCACAGAAAACTACAGCACAGTCAACAAGCTGCCATAATTTTATATGCAATGGCATGGAGGGCACTGAAGATTTCAACGCTACGTGAGTTGATATTGAAGGTTATGGAACGTGCTGAAATGGACACGTTGACAACTGTATTAAAAGGAAAAATGGAAGAAGAATTTATGGGACCCTGGAGGGCGTTCTATGACTGGTTAAAACTTGTGTATTAAGAAAATAAGATCAACGGAAGAATAACAAGAATGACAGATGAAGTAGTTGCGAAATTGTAATGAGAAGATATCCATGCAGAATGCTAAAATGGAATTGTTAAATATTTCTGTATTTTTCCTTTCTTCCTCCTTTCCCCCTTTCTGTATATAAACTAAAAAAAATTCAAAGAAAGAAAGAAAGGAAGGAAGAGAAAGGAACAGAAAGAGAGAAAGCAGTGAGCGAAGGGGGAAGCATACAGTAGGAGGAGGCAATCTGCAAAAAAAAAAAAAAAAAAAAACACCTCTCCGGTGGGGAAAAACCTTGGAATTCAGCCTACAGTACAAGACATCCTGTATCACCTGCGTTTGTTGTGCTGACAACCGTTGCCGTAAGCTGTGATTAGTCTTAAGCACAAAAATGAAAAGTGATAAATGCACCTGCCGTCTTCCAAGCAGCAGATTCCCATGGGACGCGTTTAGCTACTTCATAACCCCCTCCCATCTGCCTTCTGCTGCAAAGTAGTGAGGGGAATTCTGCCACTCTTCGGTACACAAGCAACAGTCTGGGGAAGCGGGAGTGTGCTAAACGATGGATGATTCTCAAATTCCCCAAATCCTTGCTTCTAGTATTAAAAATGCCTAACATCAGAAAAGTGGACAACCTAGTCTACTATCGTGTCTCACACAGTAGACAACCAGTTCCTCTGGAGGGCCAACAACAGGGCGGAGAGGCCGAGGCCTTCATTAGAACATTAGAAGAGCCCTGCTGGATCAGACCAGGGGTCCATCCAGTCCAGCATCCTGTCTCTCACAGTGGCCAACCAGTTCCTCTGGAGGGCCAACAACAGGGCGGAGAGGCCGAGGCCTTCATTAGAACATTAGAAGAGCCCTGCTGGATCAGACCAGGGGTCCATCCAGTCCAGCATCCTGTCTCTCACAGTGGCCAACCAGTTCCTCTGGAGGGCCAACAACAGGGCGGAGAGGCCGAGGCCTTCATTAGAACATTAGAAGAGCCCTGCTGGATCAGACCAGGGGTCCATCCAGTCCAGCATCCTGTCTCTCACAGTGGCCAACCAGTTCCTCTGGAGGGCCAACAACAGGGCGGAGAGGCCGAGGCCTTCATTAGAACATTAGAAGAGCCCTGCTGGATCAGACCAGGGGTCCATCCAGTCCAGCATCCTGTCTCTCACAGTGGCCAACCAGTTCCTCTGGAGGGCCAACAACAGGGCATGGAGGCCAAGGCCTTCTCCTGATGCTCCCTCCTGGCACTGGGATTCAGAGGTTTAGTGCCTCTGAACTTGGGAGGTCCCCCCTTTAGTCACCATGGCTGGTAGCTGCGGACAGACCTCTCCTCCATGAACCTGTCTAAACCCCTTTTAAAGCTGTCTGTGCTTGTGGCCATCACTGCATCGTCTGGCAGCAAATTCCACATTTTAGACATTCACTGCATAAAGAAGTATTTCTTTTGGTCCGTCCTGAATCTACTGGCCACACTTTTGGCAGACCCAGTATTCCAGTGAAGAGATAAGAAGCCCAAGGTTGTTTTGTTCTCCCAAGTCAAACACCAGAAGACAACCTGGGACAGGAAAGATGTGAAAGGTGGCATGCCCTCAGCATACAGAGAGGTTCCAAACCCTATCCAAATGACTGAACAGGGCCCATCTAAGGAGAGTTGCACGTTGAGGCCAGTGAAGCCCAACAAGTAACCTTCTCACTACTGAACTGTGTGCACGTACAGCTGTTAGTGAAACTGCCAAGGAGGGATTTGCACCTAAGTGCTTCTGGTGTGTTTTGGCACCCCTCTGCAAGGCACTATGGGTCAGAGGAAGCCTAATTTTTTTAAAGTAAAGGAACTACTGCCCTCGGGGAAGGCACTCTGTTGAAACACGTCAGACAGCACATTCCCCAGTGGAGGTGTGCCTCTTTTCCCTTCCCTGGTACTTTTAAGGCTGGTGCTTCCCTTTTCTCTTTTTCGCACCGAGGTAGCAGAACATTCCCCGGATGTGGAACTTGTCCGCCCTCAAAGCGTCTGAGAACTCCAGCGAAGCAACTCCAGCAGGAGTTGCAAGGTTATAACACTTGAGCTGCGTGAGCAACATGAGAGGTGGCAGATGCGCCTCCTCCCCACTTTCATCCTTCGGGGAGCCATCGAAGACAATTGCATTTTGAACTACATTTGACAACGTTGTTTTTATTCATTGGCAGCCCTAATTGGAGCTGTTCAATTGTGGCCTTTTGGTGCTTTTTATAATAGTTATTTCATTTATATTATAAGCCGCCTTTAGTTCCGCAAGACATGAAGTGAGAGGAGATTGGATTGATACCACGCCCTTCACTTGGAGTCTCCGAGCAGCTTACAGTCTTCTTTTCCTTCCCCTCCCCACAACAGACACCCTGTGGGGTAGGCGGGGCTGAGAGAGCTCTGACAGAAATGACTTTTTCAGGAACAGCTCTGAGAGAACTGTGGCTTGCCCCAGGTCATCCAGCCAGGTGCAAGTGGAGGAGTGGGGAATCAAATCCGGCTCTCCCAGATTAGAGTCCGCGCACTTAACCACTACACCAAAAGGCAGCTAATAAATGCTTTAAATAAATACATACCTACAACCAAATGGGCGAACAGCGCTATACAACGTGTAGGCGTGCACATACATGGCCACTCGGTCTGCAAGGTGCTACAGGAGATGGGGGTGGGGAGAAAAACAAAAGGCTTTTAGAGGGCTGGAAACAAAAGCCAATCCATTCCCTATTTATGTATCGAAACATTTCTATCTCGCCTTTCCACGTCGTCCGAGGCAGAAGTGCTGTGAATCGGTAACAAGGAAGCTATCAGAAAGGAGCAGGAACCTACTTTGAGTGGGATGTTGTAACCATAGTTGGATCTAAAGTTCGAAGCTTCTTCCCTCGCTATGTCCGCCAAGGACCGGGCATCTGCCAGGAGTCCTGCCACTGCCTGAAACGAAGAGGATTGAGTCTCAGAACAAAGTCAAAACCCGACTCTCCAGAAACTAAACATCCCAGTTATCTCCAAGCGTCACTCTTATTTGTCATCAGCCACGTGATTACCAAGCACGTGTCTCCGGAACTGGAAAAACTAGTATCACCACCCCCATGTTGAGGCCTCATACTCTTGTGGGTTGCTAGCTGAAACTTATAAAGCTGCATGAGCCGAGTCTGGCCGCCGGAGTTCCCTCTAAGCTGAGTTAGTGTGAGTCAGTTCACAGTTTTTCAGCCTCCGGCTCGCACATTTTTGTCTTCGCACAGGAAGGATGGCTCCAGAGGCAAACTAATGTATGCAGTGGCAAAATCGCTTGCTCGCAACTTTAATGCCAGTAGCTCACAAGGCAGAATTTTTGCTCACGAGACTCCACAGCTTAGAGGGAGCATTGCTGGCCGCATGTTTCTACTAATCGCTGGAAAGGCCTACGAGATGACGCGCCCAACTCACCATTCCAACGTGTCGATCGACATTAAAGAGGCGTTTATTGGAGCCTTCTTCATACAGCTTGGACAGCACTAGTTTTTCTACTCCAAAGACGACACCGTCCTTACACCTTATCCCGATGGCTGTACTGAAAAGAGGCCCCATTGACACCAGTCAGTGCACTGTATTTATGGCACCTTCCAGTCACCTCTCTGGTCGGAAGGTGCTCAAGGAAATGTACAAAAGGTAAATGTAAAAGCCAAAGGAAAGCAATCAAATTAATAATAAAGAAGGCACTGCTTATACTAAGTCTCTACCAGTGAAAAGAGACTAACCCAGTAAACAAATGCCTTCATAAATGGAAGGGTCTGGTTAAAAAAAAAAAAAAAGCAGCATATGACAAGTGGGACACCAAGCCCCTTTAACAGAAAGCAGCATTAACCAAATAACTCAGGAAAAGCATGCAGGAATGGATATCTCCACTGGAAAAATAATAATAATTTTCTGCATAGCCTTTGATTCAGAGGAATACTATTAGCCCCACCCCTCTGGGGAAGGGGACATCAACCAGAAGACATATTGCAGTCAAGCTACCCAAGCAGAAGCTTCTGTATAATTTTAACGGTGTCTTCACAATGTACTTTTTTTTTTAGTGCAGTATGAGATCAAAACAACAGGCAGGCCCTCCTTAAATAAATCAAGGGAAGCCATAGACAAAGATCGCAATATAAGTTTCAACTGGTATACTGCTCATATTCTGAGCTGCTATTAATACAAATCTATCTTGAATAAAACCTTGTTGGTCATAAAGGGGCAGTTGGACTCAAACTTTGTTCTAATACAAGCCTATGTTGGCTAACATATATGCAGCTTCATTAAAGTGCCACATTAATAGATATCTTTTTGTTATTGTTCAGTCGCACAGTCGAGTCTGACTATTCACGACGCCGTGGACCAGATCACGCCATGCCTTCCTGTCTTCCGCCGTCCTCTGAAGTTTGCTCAATTTCATGTTCGATGCATCTATGACACTGTCTAACCATCTCATCCTTTGCCATCCCCGTCTTCTTTGACCATTAATCTTTCCCAGCATCAGGGTCTTGTCCAGTGAGTGCGCCCTTCTCATTTGGTGGCCAAAGTATTTGAGCTTCAGTATCTCTGGCCTTCCAGGGAACAGTCAGGGTTGATTTCTTTTAGAATTGATTGATTTGATCTCCTCGCAGTCCAAGGGACTCTCAAGAGTCTTCTCCAGCACCATAGTTCAAAAGAATCTATTCTTCGGCACTCGCCCTTCCTTATAGTCCAACTCTCGCAGCTATACAGTACTACTGGGAATACCATTGTGTTGATAACGGAAGTCAATTCTACACCCTTGGCAGAAAGTTTGAAACGCTTATGACCCCCCTCCGTTTCCAAGATTATTCACTCTCAAAGTGGACCACGAAGCTAAAAATACAATCATGTCAAAAGGAATTCATTCCTTAAGAGGGTGGCTTGACATAGTCTAATCCAAGGGATATTCAAATCTCTCTCCTTCCACTCACAGGTCTTCAGATAAAAGTTTTCTTACACCCAAGTCAGGCCACCGGTCCTTGTCGCTCAATATTTATCTGCTCTGACGAGCTGGGGTTCTCTGCTGTCCAAGTCAAAGAAAATCTTATTCTGGAGGACAAGGAACTGAGCCTGGAGGCTTTTTAACACAAGGCATGGGCTTCACCACTGACACACGGCAGTTTTATGATGTCTGGAGTGTACAAAACAGTTTACAGCCACAGGCTCTATCAAATGTACCCTTACCTGGGGAACAATACCCACTGATATCAGTGAGGCATTCTTCTAAGAACTCATGAAAGACAAAGGACTTGTTTACACAAGATTAAGATGTGGAATTCACTGCCAGAGGATCTAGTAATGACCACAGACACCTTTAAAGAGGTATTAAATTTGTGGAGGAGAGGTCTATCAGCAGGTACAAGCCCTAGTGACTAAAGGGAACCTCCACCTACAGAGGCAGCAAACCCCCAAACACTAGGACGAATTATTTGGGGAAGGCCTCGGCCTCTCTGCCCTGTTGTTGGCCCTCCAGAGGAACTGGTTGGCCACTGTGCGAGACAGGATGCTGGACTAGATGGGCCACTGGTCTGACCCAGCAGGGCTCTTCTGATGTTCTTATGAAGGCCTCGGCCTCTCTGCCCTGTTGTTGGCCCTCCAGAGGAACTGGTTGGCCACTGTGCGAGACAGGATGCTGGACTAGATGGGCCACTGGTCTGACCCAGCAGGGCTCTTCTGATGTTCTTATGAAAGCCTCAGCCTCTATGCCCTATTGTTGGCCCTCCAGAGGAACCAGTCAGTCACTGTGTGAGACAGGATGCTGGACTGGATGGACTATTGGTCTGATCCAGCAGGGCTCTTCTTATGAAGGCCTCGGCCTCTCTGCCCTGTTGTTGGCCCTCCAGAGGAACTGGTTGGCCACTGTGCGAGACAGGATGCTGGACTAGATGGGCCACTGGTCTGACCCAGCAGGGCTCTTCTGATGTTCTTATGAAGGCCTCGGCCTCTATGCCCTATTGTTGGCCCTCCGGAGGAACCAGTCAGTCACTGTGTGAGACAGGATGCTGGACTAGATGGACCACTGGTCTGATCCAACAGGGCTCTTCTTATGTTGTTATGCATAGTATCAGCTGTAATTCTAAAAGTGCAATCCCCAAACAGAGTTATGCTCTTCTAAAGCCCACAGACAGCAACAGACTCAGGACGTAACTCTGCCTAGGGTTGCACTGTGATCCCACTGAATGTAACAAAAGTGAGTATTTGGTCTCCCCCCCCCCTCCACCTGCATCAGGTATCTGTCAGGACTGATTGGCCACCTAAAGGTGCAGTCCTGTTCATACTGAAGTCAACCACAAATTAACTCCGACTGACTTTTAATGTAGCAAAACTATAGTCTAGATGGAGCTTTTGAATGGATGCATGCATGAGATTAGGTTATAAGGCTGCAGTCTAAAATGTGATTTCTTGGAAATGAAATTAAACGGACTCCCTTCCATGCTGCAAGGGCGACATCACTCCTGGTTTTTAATCTCACAGGAGATCTAAACACAGATGCAAATGAGGAAGGGCCACAGCCCAAAAATAAAGTATGGGCATCATATACGGAAAACCTGGCCCCACTGATGGCACCTGTTATTTTTGGCCACTGTGTGATAGAGTATTGGACTAGATAGGCCATTGGCCTGATCCAACTTGGCTTCTCTTATATTCTTACGTTCTTACTCCAGATTCAATATCCAGCCCAAGGCCCGGACAAAACACTGCCAGTCAGAACACACGGCTCTGGGCCAGATGGAACAACAACAGTCTCGCTCGGTATAAGGCAGCTGCATTTGCTCTTTGAGAAAAATGAGCACTCATTCTCTTCACTACTTGCTCCTCTCATTATTTTGAAGCGGCAGGACAACGGAAATAGTAATTACTCTTACCTGCTGTTCTCCACAGCTTTTGTCGCATACTCAACTTGAAACACTCTGCCATCTGGAGAAAACGTAGAGGCCGACAGGTCATACTGTAAAAGATGAATATGCACTTTGAATAATTTTTTTTTTAAAACCTGGAGCTTGAAGATAGCAGGCACGGAGCTCATTAGCTTACTCCACTACATGGCTTGGTGTTTGAATATGGGGAGGGGGTGTGTGGCTCAGTGGTAGAGCATCTGCTTGGCACGCAGAATGTCCCAGGTTCAATCCCTGGCAGCTCCAGTTAAAAAGGACCAGGCAGATGTGAAAGACCCTGGAGAGCCACTGCCAGTCTGAGTAGACAAACACTGACTTTAATGGCCCAAGGGTCTGATTCAGTACAAGGCAGCTTCATGTGTAGTGCATCGTTCTTTTCCAGCAGACTCCGTAATACAGTGTGTTTTCTGTAGTTAAAACTCTAGTTACCATCAAATGCATTGTGAGCAAAGAGGAAACTATTACCTACGGTATTAGCTAAAGCAATAAAAAGAGCTCTACGCAAAAAAAAAATGTAATTCCACATACCTTCGTGGCTGTATTAAGTGGTTAGTAGATATGTGAAGGCCCAGAAAGAAGACAGGAAAAAATGCTGCCACCACCCCAGGACTTGGGGGGTGGGGAGAACTGGAGAAACTCTTATGAAATCCCCCCCTGCTTTTTTAGAATAGATGTCACTTAAGATGTACAGAATTCAATTTTCCCAATGAATAACTATTAAAAGAAATACTTCTATGAAATTTATCTCTTTTGGAATGAGTGAAATATGCTAAAATAAAATCGAGCTCAGCAATTTGCAGCTCGCTCTTGCTTTAATACCTGTATTTACTATTTTTGTTTGTAGAACACCAAAGACATTTATACTTTCCATAAATATGGCACAATACAATTCTACATGTGAATTTATAAAAATGATGTGCTTTATGTTACTAAAACCACAAAACAGGTTTAGGTTGATAGGAAAGTATTGCCTATATCTCAATTCCCCTTCCTCATATTAAAAACTTCTTTCCACGGCTTCATATTCTAGCAACTGTCCATCTCCAGCAGTATATACTTTTTTATTTCAGGAATACCTTAAGCACTCAGTTATATTTAAATCAACGGCTGGCCTTTTGTGGTTTTAAATTGCTTTGACCCAAATCATTCTGCCCTGTGCTCGACTCAAGCAGTACCTTCCAAAACGGTGTGGTAGACAAAAAATATACACCAGTGGGGATGGGAAGGGATGACTTTGCAGAGTGACCCAAGAGAGACATAAGGAAGCAAACTGATCCTGTTACAGTGCAACGCTATGTAGAGCTACTGCAGAATAAGCCCACTGATTTCAATGGCCTTGCGCTGGATTAACTCCACGTAGGACTGCGTTGCTAGAGGCACATCTCAGCTCTCTACACAGCTACTGTCAATTAGAGCAACTCACAAATCACTCTCCCACTGGTAATGTTTAGCAAAAATAACACTACACTACGAGTATCCCCATCCCCACAAATGGCAGCCACCTGAAGCAGAGCAAGGGTGACACACATTTCATATACCACTAGAAATCTTGCTGGGGGAGACACAGGATTGTGGCTACTTACTGGCAGCATCACATGTTGTAAGGTCTACTGACTAGCGATGCTCCTGAGAACCACAGAATCAGCAACACAGATGCACCTTTGCTTCATTTCCTTGTGCAGATTTTAACGCTGTATTGGCTTAAGGAGTTCTACCCAATATTGGCAATGGAAGAACGTTCACTTTAGCATTCTTGCCTTTCTTCAGGGTGCATGAAAACATGAGTTCAAGGCATCAAACCGCAAAATGCATACAGTCGCATTCCAGCGAACATGGCTGCAACCCTGGGCTCTTATTCAGAAATAAATGGAATCTGTTCTAAGTAATTACGCTTATAATGAAGACATGCAATGCCATCACCCTTGCAAATTTGCTTTTTCTCTCTCTCTCTCCTGTTCTCCATTCAGGAATGTCCCTGGGGATCTTTTGCTTGCACTGCCCAACAGCACCCTCTGCTGGCCAACCAAGAATGCCAGAGAATGGCCTCCGTTCTTAATTTTTCAGAGCTTTCACAGTTTAAAGACCACTTAACTCGTTTTTGTGTTGTCAAAACCCCAGGTTTTGCATATGGATTTGCAACCACTTATCAGACATTCGTATTATAACAAATACGAATTTGTTATAATACGAATGTCTCTCTCTCTCTCTCTCTCTCTCTCTCTCTCTCTGCGACTCACCTGAAGAGAGAGAGAGAGAGAGAGAGAGAGAGAGAGAGAGAGAGAGAGAGAGAGAGAGAGAGAGATTGGATGTATACCCCGCCCTTCACTACCCAAGCGAGTCTCAGAGCGGCTTACAAACTCCTTTCCCTTCCCCTCCCCACAACAGACACCCTGTGAGGTAGGTGGGGCTGAAAGAGCTCTGACAGACACTGCTCTTTTTTTTTTCAAGGACAGCTCTGACAGAACTATGGCTTGCCCAAGGTCTCCCAGCAGGTGCAAGTGGAGGAGTGGGGAATCAAACCCGGTTCTCCCAGGTTAGAGTCCATGCACGTAACCACAACACCAAACTGGCTCTGAAGCAGCAGACGGATGAAGTTTCATTTAAAGTATAAGCTTTCGTGTGCATGCACACTTCTTCAGATGCCGGTATCTAGAGAAGTGTGCACGCACACGAAAGCTTATACCTAGCATTATTTTTGGTGTAGTGGTTAAGTGTGCGGACTCTAATCTGGGAGAGCCGGGTTTGATTCCCCCACTCCTCCACTTGCACCTGCTGATGTGACCTTGGGTCAGTCACAAGCTCTGGCACAGCTGTCCTTGAAAAAGAGCAGTTTCTGTCAGAGCTCTCTCAGCCCCACCCACCTCACAGGGTGCCTGTTGTGGGGAGGGGGAGGGAAAGGAGTTTGTAAGCCGCTCTGAGACTCCAAGTGAAGGGCAGGGTATAAATCCAATCTCTTCTTCTCTCTTCTCTTCTTCTTCTTGCCATTAAAGGCCTGAGTTTTCCTAACTGGATGGCCAGAGTCTGGCCAGACACAAGCTTGTCAGAACACTGCGGGAAGCTGGAGTTGGCCGCTGCACAAAGTTTGTTACGATCCATTTGAATCTAAGCTGGAGACCAGTACGCATTCATTCATTTACATCCCACTTTTCTCTCCGGTTGAGACTCAACGAGGCTGAGAACACAGTTCTCCATTTTCACACAACGACGACTCTGTGAGGTAGGCCAGGCTGAGAGTTTGTGATGGCCCAAAGTCAACCAGTGAGCTGCCATGGTAGAAATGGGGATCTGAACCCAGGTCTCCCGGGATCCTAGTTTCTGTGCTCTACCCCCTGCCAGGAGAGAGATTTAGCAACTCGACAGAATTCTTTAAGATACATGCCCTGAAATCAAGAAGGTATTTTGTTAGCACTGCGGTCTCCTTCACCAGTAACGTTCTACCACTTTTAGCATATCAAACAATGTACTGTACGAACCAGGTGGACGCACCATGTCTAGTTTCTCAGAGAAATGACGGGAAAGGAGGATTAGGAGCCTGGGTGTTTATGGGATTTTTCTTGCAGCATCATAAAAGTGGCCTTGGATGGGGCCATAAATCAAGACAAAGATGTAAAAGTAAAATAAGTGTCCAGACAGAACTTGTCTAAGTAGGGAGAACACAAGATGAATTCAATGGAGATATTCCATGGTTCTGACAACTAGTGGGTGGGTAAAAGCTATGAGATGAAGTTTAACAAAACGAACGAAACAGTCATTGTCCCTACATTTGTTAAATGACAGATGCCACCTCTTCAAGAGTGGCTCACATCTCGTATCTCTTCTGCACTGGCCACGTAACATTTCTGCAGTCTAATCCCCTACTCCAATGGCAACTGTAATTTCTTTTCTTTCTTTACCAAGAGAGTTTGCAAGTGCTCTGAGGAAAAAACATCTTAGCAGCCATGTAAAGCCATGATGCGTCCACCTTATCGCAATACACGCAATTAGCTTTTTAACCAATAAGGTCTCTCAGGTTTCACCCTTTCCCAAATTTTATGTACATGAAGTTGCTTTATAACCAATTCAGACTATTAGGGCAGGTACCTCTGCTCTATCATGACTGGCAGCTGCTCCCCAGGGTCTCTTACAAAAAAAGGCTGGCATCTCCAAGGTGCTGTGGGGGTGGGGAGATCTGGAACATGCAGCATGCAAACCAGGTCCTCTACCACAAAGGTAGATCTGTTTTTCCTTTTCAGCATCCCTTCTTCAATGCCTGGATACAGCAACAGCCAGCCCCCCTCCCCACCCTCCTAGTTCTGTTGTACTTAAGAACATAAAAACAGCACTGCTGGATCAGATCAGGGGTCCATCCAGTCCAGCATCCTGTCTCACACAGGGGCCAATCAGTTCCTCTGGAGGTCCAATGACGGCACAGAGACCAAGAACATCAGAAGAGCCCTGCTGGATCAGACCACTGAGGGTCCATCTGGTCCAGCCTCCTGTCCCACACAGTGGCCAACCAGTTCCTCTGGAGGGCCAACAACAGGGCAGACAGGCCGAGGCCTTTGTAAGAACATCAGAAGAGCCCTGCTGGATCAGACCAGTGAGGGTCCATCCAGTCCAGCATCTGACTAAGAGGGCTGTGTTTCCCAAAAGCTTATGCTACAATAAAGTTCTTTCGTCTTCAAGGTGCTACTGGGCTTCTTACTATTTGCTACGACAGACTAACAGGGCTAACTCCTCTGGATCTATGACCAAGTGAGAAAGGTGGACTACAAAAATAAACGCACAAAATAACATACTTAACATTCACCCAACTCCACTCCATTATTCTGCCCTTCCAAGAATCTTTGCTTTCAGATTCATTTTTTCCCCTTGCCTGAAGAGCTCTTACGGTCCTTGGGCCCCACTGAGAAAGGCGGACTGCAAAGGCAGCCAGCAACAGCGGCCGCCCCATCCACCCTCAGGCCCCTCCCCCTGGAGCATCCTCGGGGCGACCTCCTTCTCTCCCCTCCCCTCCCCTCCCTCAACGCTTCTTCCGCTTTCGGTTTCCAGGGTGACTCAGCATCCAATCGGGTCTCCCCTCCGTAAGCGCCGGGGGGGTGACGTCAGGAGGTGGCGCGCGACCCCCCTCCCCAGCGCCACCAAAAGACCCGTATGTAGCCGACGGGAGGGGGGGGAAGAAGGAGGAGGCGAGCAGAAGACCCTGCTTTCCCCCTCCCTGTAGAGGCAATTCTGCCCACAGGCACCGACGACCCTTCTCTTTCTTTCTTTCTTTCCGTCTCCCGCCGTCTGACTTACCCCGGTGCCGATGGAGCTCATGGCTGAGGAGAACACCACGAGCCGAGCCAACCACTTTCGCCGCTCGCCGGCCTTCCTTTCTCTCTTTTTTTCCCCCCCTCCTCAGACTCTCACCCACTCGCGGTCCCCCGACACAGGCCAAGAACGCGCACGCCCATTGGACGCCGCTTATGGCTGGCCGGCCAATCGGAACGGCCTTGCTGGTGCGTGTGCGCGCGCACCCACAGGAGAGCGCCGAGTCACCGCGGCTGAAAGCAGGAGCGAATTGTTTCTGGGTGGAGTGCGCATGCGTGTACTGACCATTAAGAAGGCGTCTATCGAGAAACGCAGCCAGCGCCCGGCTAGCTCAGTCGGTAGAGCATGGGACTCTTAATCCCAGGGTCGTGGGTTCGAGCCCCACGTTGGGCGGTTGGTCTTTTTTGTATAGAACTCGTTTTGTCCTCTCCACGACTGAATAAACGACAATCCCATTCAACCGCCGTTGCCCATATTGCTGCAACTCTCGCAGCCATGCATGACTACTGGGAATACCATTGCTTTGACCATGCGGACTTTTGTTGGCAGGGTGATGTCTCTACTTTTTATCATGACTTAGATTAATTAAAATTAAAACCTCAGCATCGAAGGCTGCACAGTGGGGCTGTCAGTTGTCGATGTTCCCATGTCCCACTCCACGGGGCTGTTGTAGGTATAACAAGGTTCCGGGTTAAACATTCCAAGGCACTTAGCATCTGACACCCACGGAAGTTGACGTTAGAATTTTCTTGGTCTTTAAGGTACCCCAGGATTTCAGGTGTGGGAGGCTCTTTAAACAACTGGGTTGATATTTGAGGTTGCCAACCTCCCGGTGTGGCCTGGGGATCTCCTGGAATTACTACTGAGCTCCAGACGACAGGCATCAATTCTGCGAGAGAAAGTGGCTTTTTTGGAAGGTGGTCTCTATGGCATTACATCCCACGGAGGTTCTTCCCCTCTTCAAATCCCACCCTCCCCAGGTTCCACCCCCCAAATCTCCAGGATTGCCCAACCTGGAGCCGGCAACCCGAGGTAATGGTTTTTAAAATATGATTTTATGATACATGTTTTTGATTTGTTAGCCACCTGGGTGGCCCTTTTGAGGGCAGAAAGGCGGGTGTATGCGCTTTGTAAATAAATGAAGGCTGCGGTCATACCGAGCATTAGCCACGCTACAGAGATGGAAGATAGGCGGATTTTCTGGGCGCGATCAAACCGCAACATCTGGGAAGCATAGAGCTCCCGTGGCTGACCCAAGGCTTCCCGCCGAAGATGCACCGTAAAAAACTAGTACCTCCGAGGTACTAGTTTCCGGAAACCGCAGGGCAAGGGTGGGCGTCTGATCGCGTTTCCGGTGGCAGCTCGTGGCATCTGGCGCCCGCCCATGTACCCTCGCAAAAAGTTTTTTTTCCCAAGTCTCCACGGGATGTGCACAAGCACCCAACGGCGCATGCGCACACTTCGGTTAAAACAACACACACAACCCCCGCCCCGCCACTTCTTTGCCGCGCCGCAGGATTGACGTATGATCGGCACCTCCCCCCGAACCACGGGATGTCGGCGGGACGTGTGGTAGTTCGCTCCGGGGCAAACAGCCACGCGTCCCCCCCCCCATGATATCCGGCCCGTGTGACCGGGGCCAGTATGATACAATGTGTCAAGAAGGATCAAAAAGGGTTGCTCCCTCTGGGATGGGAGATTCCTGGGGATTTGGGGGTGGGGAGGGGGGGGATTGGGGAAGGGAGGGACGGCAGCAGTGTTCCCTCTAAGCTGAGTGAGTGTGAGCTAGCTCGCAGTTTTTCAGCCTCCAGCTCACTGATTTTTGTCCTACCTCAGGAAGGTCCAGAACAAATCAATTTATGCAGCAGCCAAATCGCTCATTGGACGTCAGAGGGGTATAATGCCATTCAACCCGCCCCCTTCAAAGCAGACATATTCCCCAGAGGAACTGATCTCTGTCACTTGGAGATCAGTTATAATTCCAGGATACCTCCAGGCCCCACCTGTGGGTTGGCAAACCCTGTTAAAACCCCTGAACTTGAGCCGACTGCGATCTTTGTTTTGACACGGATTCCATTTTCTGTTCCGACCAGCAGGTGTCGCTGCTGAGTTGGCAAAGATGTCTGCCCTTCCACATCTCAACAGGGATATTCTCATCACTGAGAAAATTGCAGAGAGGCCAGTGGGGTTGAAGCACCCCTTCTGTATGCAGAAATGCTAACGGGTTTGGGGCTTTTTAGCCCGGCCTCACCGGCAGTCTGCAAGCAGCAGCTGGACGAACACTTGTCAGGGATGCTTTAGACCGATCCTGCATTGAGCAGAGGGTTGGACTAGATGACCTCTATGGACACCCTTCCAAATCTATGATTCTTGGATTCTATGAGTTCATAAAAAATCCCTGGTGAGGGAAAGGGGGGGGGTAATGATAGAATCTTATATAAAGTACACAGGGTCTAGACAAATTGGACAGCACAAATGCATTTTCCCCACTCTTCCACTTGCAGCTGCTGGATGACCTTGGGCAAGCCGTAGTTCTGTCAGAGCTCTCCTTGAAAGGGCAGTTCTGGAAAGAGCTCTCTCAGCCCCGCCTACCTCACAGGGTGTCTGTTGTGGGGAGGGGAAGGGAAAGGAGATTGTGACTCCTTTGGGTAGTGAAGGGTGGGGTATAAATCCAGTCTCCTCTTCTTCTTTTACCTCTGTTGTGGGGAGGGGAAGGGAAAGGAGATTGTAAGCTGCTCTGAGACTCCTTTGGGTAGTGAAGGGCGGGGTATAAATCCAATCTCTTCTTCTGGATGGCCTTGGGCAAGGCGTAGTTCTGTCAGAGCTGTTCTTGAAAAAGAGCAGTCTCTGTCAGAGCTCTCTCAGCCCCGTCTCCCTCATAGGGTGTCTGTTGTGGGGAGGGGAAGAGAAAAGAGTTTGTAAGCCGCTCTGAGACTCCTTCGGGGAGTGAAGGGCGGGGTATAAATCCAGTCTCTTCTTCTTTTACCTCACAGGGTGTCTGTTGTGGGGAGGGGAAGGGAAAGGAGTTTGTGAGCCGCTCTGAGACTCCTTTGGACGGACTCTATCAAGAAAGCCACGGCCCTCAGCCTGCAACACCTGAGCAAGGCTGTTAAATACACGACAACGTTTGAGTCCAGTGGCACCTTTAAGACCAACCAAGTTTAATTCTGGGTAGAAGCAAACTGAGAGCCAGTTTGGTGTAGTGGTTAAGTGCACGGACTCTAATCTGGGAGAACTGGGTTTGATTCCCCCACTCCTCCACTTGCACCTGGCTGGATGACCTTGGGCAAGCCCTAGTTCTGACGAGCTGTTCTTGAAAAAGAGCAGTCTCTGTCAGAGCTCTCTCAGCCCCGCCTACCTCACAGGGTGTCTGTTGTGGGGAGGGGAAGGGAAAGGAGTTTGTAAGCCGCTCTGAGACCCCTTTGGGTAGTGAAGGGCGGGGTATAAATCCAATCTCCTCTTCTTCGTCTCTTCAAGCTTCATCAGAAACAGTGAAACAGACTTCCTCACACCCAACATATAGGTAAAAAGGGGGCAGTCAGTTGCCAGGAAGGGCTAGTTAGAGTCAAGATGCATAAGTAACTGAGCAATTAGTATAGCTAAAATTACATTAATGCCATTGCTAAAACCTATGAATAGCAGCAAACAGCAGACACTGGACTGCAGACCGGAAGGTCGGTAGTTCAGCAGTTCGAGACCCGAGTGAGCCGCATGATGGAGTGAGCTCCCGTCTGTAGTTCCAGCTCCTGCCAACCTAGCAGTCCGAAAGCAAGAAACTGCAAGTAGATAAATAGGTACCGCTTCGGTGGGAAGGTAACAGCGTTCCGTGCGCCTCGGCGTTTAGTCATGCCGGCCACATGACCACGGAGAAGTCTTCGGACAGCGCTGGCTCTTCGGCTTGGAAACGGAGATGAGCACCAGCCCCTAGAGTCGGATTCGACTGGCTTTCAAGCAAGGGAAACCTTTCCATTTACCTTGAAGGTACAAATAAAAGAGTTAACAAACAGATGTGAGAACTCTCTCTACCTGCACATAAGGCTTGAGGAAGTCTGTTTCAACGTACCGGAAGAGGTGTGCCTGCACATGAACGCTCATACCTTGAATAAAACTTTGTGGATCTTCAAGGTGCCGCTGGACTCCAGCTGTGTTCTATCGCTTCAGACCAACACAGTGATCCACCTGAATCTAATGATAAGACAAGATGTTTTGAAGGGAGCTGCGGTGGCTCAAGTGGTTAAGACGCTGAACTGCAGGCTGTGGAAGGTTGGTAGTTCAGCAGTTCGAGACCCGGGTTGCCACATGATGAGGTGAGCTCCTGTCTCTAGTTCCAGCTCCTGCCAACCTAGCAGTTCGAAAGCGAGAAATTGCAAGTAGATAAATAGGTACCACTTCGGTGGGAAGGGAACAGCGTTCCGTGCGCCTTGGTGTTTAGTCATGCCGGCCACATGTCCATGGAAACGTCTTTGGACAGCGCTGGCTCTTCGGCTTGGAAACGGAGATGAGCACCGCAACTTTACCTTTACTTTGAAGGGACAGCACTTTAGCCGCACACGTGGAAAGCAATGCTCCCTCTAAGCTGTGGAGTTTTGTGAGCAAAAAAATTCTACTTTACGAGCTACCGGCATTCAAGTTGTGAGTGAGCAATGTGGCTACTGCATAACTTAGTTTGCTGTGGAGCCCTCCTTCCTGAGCGAAGACAAAAAAAGGTGTGAGCCGGAGGCTAAAAAACTGCGAGCTAGCTCACACGAACTCATCTTAGAGGGAACACTGGTAGAAAGCCAGTGCCAATCAGAGTGTTAGCCCATCAGGGAGCCCTGTTCCCATGTATCCATCCATTAGCATTTGTTTTGTTTCGATCGAGGCCTCCTGCCAGAATCCGGATAGGAAAAAGAAAGGAATTCTCCACTAGAATCTTGCGCAGTATTAGAGGATTGTTGTTTTTCTCGAGAGGTTGGCTTCCAGGTCCAAAGAGTTTGCTTTAGAAAAACAACACACACACACAAGAGTGCTTCCCTTTTTCCCCAGCAGTCCGGACTTCCGTTTCTAAAATAAGAGGTGCCTTGGGTCACATCTGCTCAACAGTCACAGCTTGCGTGTGATCGGACGGCACGGCACTCTTTCTCCAGAAGCAGAG